AGAAATCTTTCGTTTACTGTTAAGTATCAGAGAAGACGTCTTCGGGAATCTGCGGCATTAGGGTCAAGGACCAAGTGCCCAGATTAATGATATTTGACAATAACCAGAGCCAAGGGTCATACGAATGATAGAAGTCGCATTTACTTTACGTTTGTGGGATTTTCTTCAGCGACTAAGCTATGATATGTCACACCCGTGCTGCAAACTCTACCAATCCTGTGGTCTAAATGAACAATGAGCAAAGGAATAACTTCACTAGTACGTCAAATCATCTAGTGGAAAACCGATCACGGAGGCTGCTGCTCCAGGTTCCAACATCATGGAAAGACAGCTTTCAGATTTTCCACAAATCGCTTAGAGCTAGTTCCTTTGAGGGAGCAGTGAAAAGTACCTAAAAACTTGCCAATCTACTCTTCATCCTGCAGACATGATAAGTGTGAGCACAGCAGGTACTTACGGAGTCTAAACAATGATAACACACATGAAACATTTCTTTTGAATGTTATGGTAGATCAAAATATGAATAATTGAACAGCAGTTGCTCATATATGTAGGTCAAGCTATGTACGTTCTGGAAAGAAAGTAAAACCATTTCAAATTAAATACCTGAAAATCTTACTGTGGTAAACTGAGGGCCAGAGAAATGACGACAAGGATGCACAAATATGAGATGCTAATGATATCAGGTCATGGCATCAGTAAACTAAGGGCAACATCATGTAGGCTGAATTCTCATGTTTTCATTTGAAAAATACATTCCTCAAATAACTTAAGTACCTTGAAACGCGTGATTCTGTGTCATTAACGAGCGCATAACGGCACAGCCGGGCATACTTCTCGACAAAATGGCATAGACCAGATCTCGAAGACGAATTTTTGCTCGACGGGCCGTGTATGAGTCCTAATGTTCGGTGAGCAGGTGATTAACGAACCATCGGCAGTAGTTTCCAGCCACCTGAGGAGTTTGACGTAAAAGGACAAACCGCTGTTAAAGGCTGTTTCGCAGCAGCGGCGAAAGTCATTAGCAGCTATTCTGGTCGAGTACCGAAGACCCACGTAAACCCTGAGAGGAAGTGAAGTGATACAAAGCGATAAAATACAAGCTTGATGGTTAAAGCGGGTAGCAGATAAGTTCTAATCACCACGCAGACGATTCGTCTGAAAGTTTCAGTTTTATACCAGGTGGCATTTCTTCTGATATTTATATATTATATATGATTCAGTGGCATTATTTGCATTAATAAATCCTCCAGACTGAGAATCTTCCGATACCTTCGTTATAGGTACGAGGAGGATTCATAGACCAGATTCTTCATCGAATAAGTCGATATTTCGCGAACAGCAAGGCATCAATCATCAAGGCACAAACGTGGCCTGTAGCTCAGCGATTCAGGAAATCCTTGGCGCTGAGTCGTTATTCCTCACG